GTTTGGATGCAGATGCTATATACTGAATGACAAAGACTACCTTGTGAAAATTTGATTCCAAAAGTGATGAAGGCATGTTTCTGGGTTACTCAGAGACTAGTACAGCATTCAGAATCTACAACAAAAGAACGTGTGCTATTATGGAATCAGTTAATGTTGTATTTGATGATCATTATGTGTCAAAGGTTAGTGAAGAACTTGAAGAAAGTGACACAGAACCGGATGAGATAACCAATAAAGAGGTTAAAGAAAAAGTGGATGGTTCATCGGTAGAACAAGAAGATAGTCACAAAGAAGCTCAGAAAATTCAGGTACACAAAAATCATTCATCATCAGACATCATTGGAGATCTCCAAGATCCGATGAAAACCAGAGGTGTAAAGCTTGATTTCAAGAAGATGACAAGTAATTTTGCAGAATGGGAAACTTTGCAGTTTCAATGCTTTGTTTCATCCGTTGAACCAAAGAATCATGTTGAAGCACTTGAAGATAATTTCTGGATCATTGCTATGCAGGAAGAGCTAGAACAGTTCGAAAGAAATGAAGTTTGGGAATTGGTTAAACGACCTGCGGATACAAATATTATAGGAACCAAATGGATTTTTAAGAACAAGAGTGATGAAAAAGGAGTAGTTGTCAGAAATAAAGCAAGATTGGTAGCACAAGGGTATAATCAAATCGAAGGTGTTGACTTTGAAGAAACGTTTGCACCTGTAGCAAGACTTGAATCAATCAGACTTTTCTTGGGAATGGCTTGTATTCTTAACTTCACGGTTCATCAAATGGATGTTAAAAGTGCTTTTCTAAATGGTATACTACAAGAAGAAGTATATGTTGAGCAACCTAAAGGATTTGAAGATATGATGAAGCCTGAGTATGTTTTCAAGTTAAAGAAGGCTCTATATGGACTCAAACAAGCACCTAGAGCATGGTATGAAAGGCTGACTAACTTTCTGCTTGAGAAAGGTTACAACAGAGGAAGTGTTGATAAAACTTTGTTTATTCTTGAAGAAAACAAAGAGAACATGATGGTGCAGATTTATGTTGATGATATTATTTTCGGGAGTACTTCTCAGAAGTTGGTGGATCAGTTTATAGAGAACATGACAAAAGAGTTTGAAATGAGTTTGGTAGGTGAATTGAAGTATTTCTTGGGATTGCAGATAGTTCAATCGGATGAAGGAATCTACATCTCACAGAGTACTTATGCTAAGAAGATCTTGAAGAAGTTTCAAATGGATAAATGCAAAGAAGCTAAAACTCCTATGAGTACCTCATTGAAATTATCAAGAGATGAAAATGGAACAGATGTAGACGTCAAAACTTACAGAGGAATGATTGGAAGTCTCTTATATCTAACAGCTAGCAGACCTGATTTATGTC